CCCTCTCTCCCCCTCCCTCTGCCGCAGACTGGATCTACTTCGCTAGGACCATCCAGAAGTACTACGACGGCTATGATGGCTTCGTGGTCACCCATGGAACCGGTACGTCGCCATGTCCCACTGCTCCCGGAGCCAGCACAGGGGACTGACTTTTGCGAGAGGCGAAAAAAAATCCCAACAAAACAAACGCCCTGCCCAACAAAGACACCATGTCCTACACGGCGGCCGCATTGTCCTTCGCCCTGGAGAACCTGGCCAAGCCGGTGGTCCTCACCGGGGCACAGCTGCCTCTGGGGCATCCATACACGGACGGCCGGCAGAATCTGGCCTCGGCCATCTTTCTGGCCGGCTATGAGCTGGTCATCCCCGAGGTGTGCATTTTCTTCAACCGCCACCTGCACCGGGGGAATCGCTGCATCAAAGAGAACTCCTGGTCGCTGGATGCTTTTGGGTCGCCGAATTTCAGCCCCCTGGCCAGCTTGGGGATCTCGGTGACCGTGAACAAGGGGCTGGTTCGCCGGATCCCGGACCCGGTGGCCTCGCCGCTGCGGGTGTTCACCCGCTTCGACCGGTCGGTGGTTGTCATTCGCCTGGTCCCGGGCTTTTCGGATGACCTGCTGATGCTGCTGCTGGAGTCCAGCTCGCAGGCCTCCTCGCCGGAGCTCCTGGGCGCCGGGAAGACCCGCGGCTCGGTGGTCACCAATGACGCCGATGTCACCGATGCCACCGACGTGGGCTCGCCCGATGCCGGGTCCGGCGCCACCGAGGGGCTGGCCTGCTCGGCGCCCCCGCCGCTGGAGGGCCGCGCCCGGCTGCACCCCGCTCGCGGCATCGTCATCCAAACCTATGGCACGGGAAATATGTCCTCCCGCCGGACGGACTTCATCCATGCCGTCACCAAGGCCATCGACTCCGGGGTGGTGGTGGTCATCACGTCGCAGTGCGTCCGCGGGGAGGTCCGCCTGGACTCCTACGACACCGGCGAGCAGCTCAAGAAGGCTGGCTGCGTCAGTGCCGGCGACATGACCACCGACACGGCGGCCGTCAAGCTATCCTACCTCCTGGGCCAGGCCGGCCTCACGCCCAATGACATTCGCACGCAGATGGAGGCCGATCTCCGGGGGGAGATCTCCTCCCGCCTGGACCGGAATATCTCCGATCCGCGTGGCACCCCGGCCTACTTGAAGCCGCATCTGCCGGCCGCGGCCACCGCCTCCTCCTTTGTCCTGCGCGGCGCCGGGGCCGATCTCCCGCCCTCGCTAAGCATCGGCCACCACTCGCAGTTCTGAGAGTGCCAAAGGGCCATCGGCGCCTGCCCTCCTGGCGTGGTCCATTTCGGTGGAGCATCCCTGGCGACCCAGTGGTCAGGCGTGCATGTGTGCATGCGTGCATGCGTGTGCGCGTGTGCGCGTGCGCGTGTGTCCTTTCGCCGTCCCTGTCACTCCCCTCCACCCGGTGGCCTGCTCGCGGCCGGTCTCCTTTCGGGGGCGGGGTGTCCGGGAGACGAGTCGAAACACTGGCCACAAAAATACACCCATCCGTTGGCAGTTGATCTTTTCCCCATAACCTCCCCTCCTCCGGGGCCATCAAGCCAACGCGGCGAATGTGTTCGGCCGGTCCCATATTAGACAAAGGCGGGTCGTCGTCAGTGGGACGCACATTCAGGCAACCGGCCGGAACGGTGGGCTGTGGGTGATCGGGGGCCGGTCGGCCGGCCGGGGAAGGGGGGGGGGCCTGCTTGGGGGTGTTCGGCGGCAGGCAACCGGCAGGGGACCGCTCCTTTCCCCTCCGACGCCTGAGGAAGCGCGTGGCGCCAGCGAAAGGAGGGGCTCCGGTCTTTCTCCCTCTTTGTCTCGCCAGCCCGGCCCGCGAGCCCTCCCCCCGGGGCCGCCGCAGGGGTGGGCCCTCTTCGCCTCTCGGAAACGTCCTAGCCTGGTCGGCGGCCGTTGGCATTTCCAGCACTTTTAACTGCCATTCTCCCTCCGGAGACGCAGGCAGGGGTGTGTCGCCGACTCCTGCCCGCACCCCCCTCCCGCACCCGGCCCTCCGTCCCCGCCGCAGCCCCACGAATGGGTGTGCACGAGCGAAGGCGCATGTAAATGCGCACGTACATGTCGTCATCGGCCCCCCTTTTCTTCTCCCGCCAGGAGGCGACCCCCCCCCATGCATGTGGCCGTCCGGCTGGCTCAACCACCACTTCCCTGTCCCCCACCCCCGCACCCCCCGCACCCCCCTCCTTCGCTCTTCTCCCCCTTTGCGCTTGTCCCTTTCCCAAACACTCCCACCCAATCCACTACACGTGCTCGGTTTCTCCTGCGCCCGCCTGCCTCTGCCGCCCACCTCGCCATGGCCGATCCCAATTCCTCGCCCTCCCCTTCGTCAATAGACTCGCCGGCGTCCTTCTCCTCCGCGGCCAGTGACTCAGAGCACTCTGGATCTGAATCCGGCTCCGGCTCCGGCTCCGGATCCGGCTCCTCATCGGCCTATTCGTCGGATGTCGACTCGGACCGGTCGAACACCGATTCCGGCTCTGGCACCGGATCCGGCTCCGGCTCCGGTTCCTCGGACGAGGAGGAGGAGGAGGAAACTGACTCGACCACCCTGGCCGGTGCTCCGAGGATTGTCATCTCGGCCCCGGCCACCGGCAGTCTGTCCATCAACCTGGGGAAGATCACCCCGGGCTCGGGCACTGCCAGCTCTTCCGCCTCGTCCACTTCGCTGAGCACCAGCAGCTCCGCGTCGTCCTCCCTTTCGGCAGGGGCCCTCTCAGGCCGGCACACCTCGGAGGGATCCTCCCACTCCGGCTCGTCCGATTCCAACTCCGGATCCTCCTCCGAGGGCGAAGAAGATGGCCACGAGGAGGAAGAGGAGGAGGAGGAGGACGGTGACGCCGAGGAAGCCGACGAGGAAGAGGCCGATGACGATGAGGAGGTCGATGTCAATACCGACGACGAAGAGACCGCGCCCCCGCCGGCCGCCGTCAAGAAGCCCACCAGCAAGGAGACCAAATCCACGGCCCCGGCGTCGGACAAGTCCTTGAAGAAGATTTCCAGCAAGGGCACCAAATCCTCCGTCTCGGCTGCGGCGACCTCTGCTTCGGCTTCTGCCTCCTACTCCTCTTCTTCCTCCTCCTCCTCCTCCTCCTCGTCCTCGTCCTCGTCCTCGGCAGAGCCAACCAGCTCGCGCTCTCCTCCGCCGCTGGGTCGGCCTCAATCCATGCGCGGCACCATTCGCCACACGCCCCATGAGGAACCCGGCGAGCGGGTTTGCCTCTGGGAGGGGTGTTTCGCCAACTTCGAGAATCTCCAGAGTCTGGTGGTCCATGTGACCACGGCTCATATCGACAAGGCGTGCGTCTTTCCCGGAGCCCATGCTGAAAACCGCGTCCCCGGCCTTTGCCAACTGACTATATTCCCCCTTTTGGGCTTCCTCCTCCTTCGCCTCCTCCCCCGCCCTCTGCCCTTCTCCCGCTCCCCCTCTCCCTCCCTCTCTTTTGGGATGGGATCCAGCATCTTCCCGGTGCGCTGCAAGTGGCAGAAGTGTGCCCGCAATACCGGCGATGGCCCGGCCCCCGCCTTCCAAGGGACCATTACCTCGCGCTCGGCCATGGTCCTTCACATGCGCATGCACACTGGCGAGCGTCCCTTCATGTGTAAGTGGATCCCGGCCGGCTCGCCGGAGGGGACCGAGGTCTGTGGGCAGCGCTTCTCTCGTTATGACAACATGCAGAAGCACATCAAGATGCATGAGGTCCGTTCTCCCCTGCCGTATAGGGAATCTCCCCTCCCCCCCCCCTCCCCCGTTGCCATGTTGCTCCCGCTCACACCAACACCATGCTCCGCTCCGGCGTCCTGCTTGACGCACAGTCTCATGATGCCCAGGTCCGCATCAAGGCCGAGCGCTCAGCCGCTGCCGCTGCTGCCGCCGCCGCTGTCAGCGCCCCGCTGGTGGCCCTCTCGCGCGCATCCACCCGCTCCCCCTCTCCCGGGCCCGTGTCGCTGGCCGGACCTGGCATGGGCCTCTCCTCTCGGCCATCGACCCCCTTGCCAGCCGGGTCGGCGGCCTCCTCTCCGGGGGGCGACCGCCGGGGGCTTGGCGGCCCTAACGCCGCCTACCTCGGGGGCTTCGACCCGATGGATGAGGATGGCATGCACGGGGATGATCGCTTGGGCGATGGCTCTTTCAAGAAGCGCAAGCTCCATTCCCTGGCTGGTGGCCGCACGGGGCCGGGGCACCTGGGCGCCGGCCTCCCCAGCGATCCGAACATGCCCCTCCCTCAGACTACCCTGTCCGATCCGCTGCCCGATGCATATGATGTGTCTAAGCGCCCCCGATTCTACAGCCCTGCCGGTGCGTGTTCCCCCCCCCCCCAAAAAAAAAGGGGGGGAATCCCTCCTCTCCAGTCGTCGTTTGACCTGGTGCCACTTTGCTGACCGGCCCAACTTTGTATGCCCTCCCTCCTTCCCGCCTTCTTTTGTCCCCACCCATCTCGCAACCGCCATCCTGGACACCGCAGTTGCCAGTGTACGCCCTCGTCCCACCACGACTTGTCACCCTCCCTTTCTTGTGCCATGCTATGTCTCTCCCTCCCTCCCTCCCTTGCCCCTCTCCGTCACCGCCAAGGGACAATCCCACCCTAACACCCCTTTCCCTTGAACTGTGCACGCACAAAGCTCGAGAAGTTCGACACCCGCGAGTATGTCCAGGCTCACCGCGTCCAGCTCGACCTCTTCCGTCTGGCTCTCTCCGAAAATGAGGAGCTCAACCTGGCTCTGCGCCGGGCGAATGCCATCAAAGACCGCCTGTCTCGCGAGCGGCGCATTCTGCTGGACTCCCTGTGTGACTTGATTCCGCCAAAGATCTAGGAGCGTGTGTCTTTCCTCCCCCCCCCCCCCCCCCCGTCAGTCCTCTGGTTTCCTGTTCTTTTTTTTTTCTCTTGCTGCACGCCCTCCAATATATAATACACCGCACACGCGTCGCTTTTTCTGCTCCCCCGGCACCGTCTCAACAGCAGTGCCAACATCCAGACTGGCGATCTCCCATTTGAGCACCCCCATTCTGGTCCCACTATTCGCAGTAGGTCATGTGCCAGGCCGTTCCCACGATTCCTCTGTGACCTCACCCCGCAGCGGCCCGGGGCCCGGCGGGGCAAGGCGGGGGGGGGGGCTGCACGCCGGGGGGTTGGGTCCCGGGCCGGCCGCGCAGCCAGCCTCGGGCGGGGGGGGGGGGGGGGGAGCCGGGGCGAGGGAGAGAGCATGTCCGCGGAATATTTCTCCGCCTCGGCGGCCGGAGGCCGAGAGCTTCTCGCACGGCGGCCGGGGGCCGAGGGCAGGGGGGCCGGCCGGGGGGACCGGGCGCTTGACATTCACGCGGGCGTGCGGGCCTGGGGGGGGGGGGGGGGGGGCCCCACGCCCGGCCGGACGCAGTGCGATGGCTCGGGGCCTTTGCCGGCGCCGGCGCCCGGCACAGCCTGGGCACCTCGCCGGCGGAAACCACGACCGGGAGTGGGGCCGGGCTGGCCCGAGAAGAGCCCCCCTGCTCTTCGCCGGTGGCACACACGGCGGGCGCGGGGCTGGGACACGGACGGGCGTGCCTCTCGCGGGTCGTCCCTGCCGCCGGGGGCCCTTCTCCCGGGAGGCTCGCCGCCCCGGCGCGGGCGGGAGGCGCGGGGGGGCGTGCCCCAAAAATCCGCCGGGCCCGGGGGCGAACGGACAGCCTGGCCAGCTTGGTGGGGGCGTGGAGCCCTGTGCGTGTGAGCGTGTGTGCGTGTGTGCGTGTGCGCGTGCCGTGTGGCCGGGCTGGCGGCGCGCGGCACGCGGCAGGGCACCACCGCATGGCACCCTGCCAGGGCGGCGGCCGGCGCGGCGGCCGGCAGAACCCGGCCGCCGAAAACCGCGGAGGCCTCCGGCTCTCTTGCCGCGGCCCCCGGCTGGGGGCGTCCGCCGGGCCGCGACGGCGTGCCGCCGGCTCGTCCGGCCAGGCGGCGAGGGGTCGGCGCTTTCCGGCCCCCCCCCTCCCCCCCTGGCAGGGGAGGACAACAGCTCTCGGCCGGGGGGCGGACAGGCTGGCTGGCGCGCGTCCGGCCGTGTGCGTGTCCGTTCCCTCGCCCCGGAGACCGGACGCGCGAAGCCGCCACGACCGCCGCCGGGGCGGTACGGCGTCTTTTTCACGCAGGCGCGCCACGCCCTTGGCCGCCGTGCGGCCCCGGGGCCCCCGGGAGGGAGGGAGGACCGGGGTAGTGTGAATATGCGGCGCCGGGGGAGCCCGCCGTCCGCCAGCCGCCTGGGGGGGGGGGGGGACGGCGAGTGAGGCGTAAAGGCGCGCGTCCACTCACTTGTGACAGGCGGCCGCGGCCGGTCGTGTCGTCCGCATTTGGGGGGGGGGGGGCGGCGCCCCACCCGGCCGCCGGGATTCGCGCCGAAGAGGGCGGAAAAGGCCGGTTTTTTATTGGCGCCAGGAGACCCCCAGCTGGCTGGGGCTTTCCACCGAACTCCGGCGGGTTCGGGCGCGTGGATTGGTCTGGGCGCCCGGAGCGCCGGCCCTGGCCGATGGGAGGCGGAGCAGGGATGCAGGGGGGGCGGCGATGCTACGCGAGAGGCCGAGCCGCGCCGGGGGCCGACCCAGGCTGTTGTTAAGAGACCCGCCGGCTGGGGGCCTGTGTACAGACGGGGGGGGGGGGCGGCGGTGCGGGGCGCCGGAGGTGTGTCCGGTGCC